CCTCGAAGTCTGAACTCTAATTACCAGACTTATTTGTAAAAACAATGCTACTCAACTTTTGCCAATATTACGTTAGTAGTGGTAATTTTTTATGTGTGCATGTACATGTGTGTGACGCGCCGGCTTATAATCAATAGGGTTTTCAAATGTGTTGCCTATTACTCTTACCAAATAAATTGAAATAAACTGAGGTGTCCACCATCCTTCTCAGTAGCGATCTCAGCTTGTGTTCTTCTCCTTTCTCGTTTTGCGCTGTATCCACCTTTCACGTCTGCCCCTCATCCACTGCCTCAGGGCCAGAGCCAGCATGTCTGCATTCGCTTAAAGCATATACCTGTAATCGCCGCTAGCGCTACTTGGAACTCGTGATTAGCCGCACGTGAATTTCCGCTGCATGCTGACTCATCAACTTTGTATTTATTTTTCCACAGCACTAAGTTTGCAATGACGAGGCCCTCCGGGCCTAAAATATAAAATTAATTTATTTATCACGTCTTGCTCTTGCTGACAGCGTGCTTTTGGGATCAAACGCAAGCGTGCGCACCTTGCCTTCTCGTCATGACCTCAATCTGTATAGTAAGATGCCCGCGTTACTAGACTAGCCTCAAAAGCAGGTTGGTTTCAACCTGTCTGGACAGATCTCAATGCGGTGGCTGCTACTGGACGTCACTTCGGACCTAGCCCTCCTCGTTGCTGGACGTGTGCTCCGATAGTCAAATCTATTACAAACGTTGTGAACATAAGTCTTTGTCCAGTGGTGCTGCACGTGGTGCCTCTCCCTTTCTTGGTAAAAAGGTTCCGTTATGGTTGTTGGCGACAATCAGCAGCCCGAACTTAGCATAGACGGTCATGACCTACATGTGCCAGAATTTATTAGGGACCTGGGCGAATCCTATTCTAATAGTCTCAATCTGTCAGAGCACTGTGCCTTTATTGTCTCGAAAGCACGCCGAACTATCGAATTTATTCTCAGTAATTCTTAGACCGTCAAAGTTAGAACTAGCCTTTAGAATGTGTACGTGTGACCTAGTCTCGAATACTGCTCGCCCCTACTTAGCCTTCTGCGCGCTAGTGAACGGAAGAAAATAGAATCGGTCCAGCACTTCTTCACTAAAAGAGTATTTTCTTCAGACCACCACAACCTATCCTACCAACAACGTTGTGAACTTATTAACATCGATCACTTGTGTCTTTGCAGGTTACAGAGGGGACTATTTTTACTGTTTACACTTTTAAACGTTTCTGTAACAGCCAATTACAGACCTTCTCACACAGGACCTCATTTGACGACTACCGAGCAGACCTTACTTCGGGCACCGTCCGCTGGCTTGCGGTTGTGTGGTTGTCCAGTAGCCAATTCCCTTCTGCCTCTTCTCCAATTTATTCTGTAAACAATATATTTTCCTACTACCCTGGCCTTTCCAAGGCTTTCCCCATCTCCTAAGGACCAGGGCCTGCAAGATCGCAACTGTTAGGTTTAAACATTATTGGCCTTCACACTCCTCGATATCTCCACCCTCGGCCGACACAGCTTACGCCACAAGACATGACTCCCCTCGGATAATGTCACATCCACCAGTTCGAGTAAACTTTAACCTGCTCCGTAATCCTACTTAAGTAACTACCACCACTGTCTCCTTCTCACTCAGGTCTGATTCGACACAGTCAACACTAGCCTTGGTATCGCCAGTGGCCACTGCCACTTTTGACATCAACTGGGAGTTCTATAGACCATACCCTTTGTTTAAGAGGTCTATCACTAGTTTTCTATATTCAAGACAACTTTCACGAATTTTGGGTGCTGACTCGGTGAAATCTCTCTTTCACTCTGATGGCGTTCGCTGATGGCGTTCGTGGACTTTGAACCCCGCCAGGCTTCATGCTGAAGATAATGTTGAAGCAGCAGCCCGCAGTCTGCTAACCAATCAGCCGATAGCGCGCAACTTTTGCCGACAAACATTCAAGGAAGACTAAGAAGTTAATTCTTCAGCCGACAGCGAGCAACTTTTGCCGACAAACATTCAAGGAATACTGAGAACACTGTGTTCTTGTGCCAACCCTTCCACGTCCCGAACTAATGTCCTTAAAGGATCTGCAGCTTTTCTCCTGCTTATCTGTCAACTCAGTTTATAATGTACATACGTTCCGTTTGTATCGTACCTTTGAAGTCTTTTTTTT